TGACTGGAAAGGAATCAGCTGGGAACATTTTCAGGTACATGCAGAAAAAAACAGCTAAGTGTTTGCAGCTCTGGGGAAATGATGGCTCCTACACTAGTGAGTGCCAAACACCAAGCAGAGACACAAGGCCAGACTCAGTGGCTCTTCCGCAGATGTTTAAATGAAAGTAGCTGTGGCTAAACTCCAGCTCCTGATATAAGATTCAGGCATATTTACATCCTGGATACTCAGGGGAGGACGTGGTCCATGGTTCTCCCCCTGCAAATGGCTGACTCTGGCTTGTGTTCCCAGAGCAAGCTAACGTGTACCATGTTAGCCCAAATAAACAAATACTATTTTGTGTGGTTATTTAAGTAAAAAATATTGAAAATAATATGATGGTAGTGTGCAATAAGGAAATTTTTATACAACATGAAATTGAGAGTATGCCTTGTATGACTTGGGATATAGCAGGTGAGTGTACATGGACAACTGTTTGTTGTTTGAACATGCAAATGTACCAAAGGACGACATTTTCTGAGTACAAAAAGGCATCAGATACTGGGCATGGGCTTTTCTAAAGAAATTAGACAGTATTGTCGCATTGAGTTGCTTGAAGGAGAGACTGGCTTTCTCCAAGCAGAAATCATTTCAGATTCAGTGTCACAGCACATCTCTGTGCAGTGGCCCATGAGCTGGCCTGTAACCTGTTATGTTTGAATCAGTGTGACTGCTAAAGCTTCAGATAGGGAGGTTTTTTTCTTTTTCATGAGAAGGTGAACCAAAGTGTTGAGAAACTATAATGACATTTCAAAAAGGTAATTTCTATCCCTTGGACATTTGTTAAGGCACATGGTAATGCTCATTTGTATTAAAATCATTTGAAATGGATATATGTGGGGTGAAAGCATGTGACTGACAGTTTCTGCTTGAAGGAAACTTCACAGAAGGAACCTTGACCTTATCAGTTCACTCTAAGTAACACAAGTGTGCCATCCTGCAGGGCATATTGTAACTTCTAGCTTTAATTTATTGATGGTCTCAGCAGCTCAAGGCAGCTGCAAACCCAGTTTACCTGTCCAGCTAAAGTGGTTTTATGGCTGTTGTATACCTCTGGAGTCAGCAATGTGTACCACTAAATCAACCTCTGTCAATTTTACCAGGCTTTTTGAGAGAACAAAAAGAAGGATGCCATTGCTTTAATTCTTAACCTTTGGTATTTTCAAGAGCCTTTTGTCATTCTGAAACTGTGCCCAAATTCTTGAGCTTTAATGCAGGATTTATTACTGGTCTTTACTGTTTGGGATGTGTTGTGTGGTTTATTAAAATCCCTAGTTTGAGACAGCCACCTTGTATAAATCAAGCTATATAAATAAACCACCTTGTACCAGAGGAACATAATATTTAGGGTTTTTCCACAAGGGAAAATGTTCTAAGTGGGAATGTCAACTGGAAATGGAGTGTCTAATGTACCTTCAGGGCTTGAATGGATGTTCCCATTCTGTGCTGAATGTTTCCTCGTGCCTCAATTTAGTTTGTTTTGGAAGCCAAGAAGGATAAATCATAAAAAAACCCTCAGGGGATAACAAGATTTTTTCCAGACTGACCTTGGGCTGGTGGGAGCCAGAAACATGGAATGGGCAGTGTGTGGAATAGCTGTTCTGTTACAGCCCTACCAGGTTGTTTCATCCAGATCTACTGTTTGCACATGCTCCATTTCCCAAATACATGTTTGTCCCTACCTGGTAGCTCTGCATGACCCTTTCTTGTGAAGCTGATTTCCTTCTTACAACATTTGAATGCGCAGGCACCATCTGTATCTTTTAAACATCTACAGTCACCAAGAGCAGGGAGTTGGAAAGCAAGGACCATAAACCAGCAAGGAATTGTGCTTCTGAATCATCAAGATGAAGTAGATCACTGAGTTTCAACTTTTAAACATTTCATTCAGTCAGCTGCAACAACACTTCTGCAACTTATACCAGGGCTTTTTGTAATGGATTTACGGGACTTGTTCTTGACCAAACCTCAGTAACGTGTGGGTGATATTCTTGGCCATATGTGATGCTTCCTAAAAATTCTATCAAAATAGGGAATGTGGATTGCACATGGAAGCTCTTTTATTTACAGTTTAAACATGACTGCCTTTGAATTCGATCCCTGTGTCCTCATGGGATTTGCTATCCTCATGCTGCAGAAGCCAAAAACCATCTTTTGAAGAGGAGCAAACTCTGCTCCTTTCAGGAAGGGAGCAGTAAGTTTAGTCCCTGTAGAGACAGGAAAAGAGAAAAATGGGCTGGAAGTTTATTTATTCCATGCAGGAATGCCACAATATAATTTGTGGGATCTCCTGCATCAGCTGAACTGGGGTATATACAAAAAGGCTACACCTGTCTGCCACTGAAACGTGGTACCTTTGCTGTTTTCAAACTATACAGTCCTCTTACCTGTGGCTGTAGGGGAAAGATCCTTGAATGGTCATTCAGAAGAATTTACACGACTAGCAGTGCCTTCAACAGCTCTGCTGGGTGCAGCACTTTTGTGCTTGTTAATGTAATGACAAGGAAATGTGGAAACTTCAGCTGCAAACTGAAGCTCATTTCCATTTTTTAAAGCCAGAAATCTAGGTTTAGATGCCAGTCTCCAGAAGCTGCCAACAACAAAACAAAGCAGTTGGGGAATTGCTGCTCTTGTGTTTCAGGTGAGGAGTTGTAACTGACTTAGGTGCTTTACTTGAAAAAGCGTGCAATTATGCTAAAATTTTCCTCTTTCTAGTGCTGCTGCCTCTGCACTCATACCTCCTCATGCAGCTGAACCATAAGGTAATAATGAAAGGCATCTTTTAACTCTGTCAATACCATTGTTTATTTTATCTCTGCAGCTCACACTAGGTCTTTGAATGAAATATAAAAACAGCCTAGCTGTTATCAGCACAGGGCAGAAGCAGACAGGAAACTTATGGTATTACTCTGACTAATGCTGTGTCTTCATGCAGCTGAAGTGTAATGCTGGAAGGCACTGTGTGCCTCCATCACCCCTTCAACTCATCCTAAAAAAGAAAAGGAACTTCAAAGCATTCCTCATTTCCTTGGAGGTGCTCAGCACCACAGATTACTCAGCTGCAGCTGGACAGTCTGGCTTCTGCAGGTGACCTCTTCCTCCATGCTGTCAGTCAGACTCATCTGACCTTTTTAGCCAGAAGCTTTCCTAGAGTCACTCGAAGTTTCTGTCAGCTCAATTCAGGAGGTGCCACACACTGTACGAGTTTGTATATCAGCCACTGGCTTCTCCTAGCCCGAGTTCAAGCATTTAGATGTTGTGCAGCAGGAGCAGAAAGGGTAATACCACAGGCTGTCCATCAGCTTCTGCCCTGGACAGATAAGAGCAGCACTTTTCTAAACTGGCCTGAGACATTGCCATGACTCAGTTCAAAGTTGCAAAGATAAACCAAGCTACAGTGTTCTTGGAAAAATAAAGATCTTTGTAGAAGTCCCAGAAGCACCAAAAGACTGAAGCATTTGAAGAGAATAATAGTCTAATATTATTATTACTGTTATTATTATTGTTTCGTATTAAGCCTGTACTCCACAGCCTTCCTCTAGGACTGGAGGTGTTATGCTGGGCACTGGAAGTGTGTGACATGACGAGATAGCCTATGCTTTTAAAGGGCTTGCAGTCTAAGCAGCAGAGTGGGAAGAAGGAAAAGAGAGAGAGGAAGGTACAATTGAAAAGCTGATGTTTCAGGGCTCATCTGTGAACCAGTAGGGACATTCTTGGGCATACACTGAACAAAGTAGGGCACATCATCCTCCTAACACTGTAAGAAATTCTTCTCTAAATAATGTTTTTCTTCTTCATAAACCAAATACAGCCACTGGGATTTCTGTTTTAAAATGCAAATGGGACTGAAGCTCCCAGATTATGCTAGCTTTCCCCAGGAATCAGACTCCTAGCTGCTTTTATCCAAACAGGGCTGCATTATCACCCCCTGCTTCACAACTCCACTTCTGTCTTCACAGCACATCATCCCTTTCACAGTCTGAACATTGCCTCTCATGGAGAGACAGCATGGAGGGGAAGACACAAATGCTGAAAAAAACCCAACCAAAAAAAAACAAAAACAAACCAAAAAAAACCCAGCAAAACCAACAACCAAAGAAACAGCAGCTGTTTGATTTTGCTCAGACATTAGCAGCATTTGCAGAAGTCCCCAAGGAAATGGCTGAGTAGGTTGAATCAGACAGAGCATTCCAAGCAGAATGGACTTCATCCCCTTGCCTTACCATTCATGAGTAAGGAAAGGCAAGGATGCTGCACATGCTTCAGGGAAAGACAAAGTTTGCATGGCTGTGTGTTGACAGAGAAAACTCTAGCATTTGGCAATACTGTGACAGGACCTTTGCAGCTCTGAAGGGTAAACCACATCTCAGGCTGCCTCATATTGGTGTCTCTCAGGGCTTAGTTTGTTCCCACTGGTCATTGCCATTTGCATTGCCATGGAAAGTTTTTTTTAGCATTTAGACTACGTTGACTGTACGGACATTACAGGAAGAGAGGGAAAGACCCAATGAAAGATTAGTCTTAGACCTACTATAAAAGATTATCTTTCCTCCTAACACCAGAATTTCCCAACCTACACAGAAACCAGCACCAGAACACTTCTAATCCTCTACTGTGAAACTCTTAAGCCACTTCAGAAAAGAAAGACAGTATCATCTTGATCATAGTTCATAAAAGCCTTTACAAAGGTGGCAGAAACTAAGCAGTAAGTCTAGAGATCATTAGAAGGGGACAAGATCCAAGAATTTAAGGAGTTATGCTTTTGTGGCTACTATGTGTCATGTGACAGTTGGATGTCAACAAATGTATTCTGCCTGTGGCTGAGGTAATAAGCATATAGCTAAGATCACTGTAGCCACAGGTAGAACACAGGTCGATGTTTGTTTATTTTATTCTTGGAGATCAGGAATGTTGTTTTTCATTATTATGTTTAATCTCTTCTTTCTCTCATCCACCTTCAGGTATCTCCATGCCTGTACCCGTCTTTGGACTACAGGATAAATCCAAAGTGTTTAAGAATTGCAGCTGCTTACTTGCAGATGAGAATTTTGTTCTAGTAGGCTCTTTTGTGGCATTCTTCATCCCTCTAACCATCATGGTAGTCACTTACTTTTTAACCATCAAGTCGCTGCAGAAGGAAGCTATGCTATGTGTGAATGACGTCGGCCCAAAGACCAAGTTTGCTTCATTTAGCTTCCTCCCTCAGAGTTCCCTGTCCTCAGAAAAACTCTTTCAACGCTCCTTGAATAGAGACGTGGGGACTTCTGGGAGAAGAACCATGCAATCCATCAGCAACGAGCAGAAGGCTTCCAAGGTTCTTGGCATTGTCTTCTTCCTGTTTGTTGTGATGTGGTGTCCATTTTTCATCACCAATGTGATGGCTGTAATTTGCAAGGAGTCATGCAATGAAAAAGTCATTGGAGGACTTCTTAACATATTCGTTTGGATTGGTTACCTTTCTTCAGCTGTCAACCCACTCGTATATACACTGTTCAATAAAACCTACCGCTCAGCTTTCTCTCGTTACATTCAGTGTCGCTACAAGGAGGAGAAGAAACCTTTCCAGCTGATTTTAGTGAACACTATCCCGGCACTTGCGTATGATTCCAGCCAGCTCCAGCTAGCACAAATGAAGAGTTTGAAAAAGGAGGCAAAAATGATGGCTAAGGATTACTCAATGGTCACAATAGGAATACATCATTTGGATGGTACCTCCAAGGGAAGTATCAGCCCAGGCAACGAAAAGGTTAGTGGTGTGTGATGGCTGGCAGCTGCCATGACAACCACCGTACATTCACTGAAAATTTCACCTGGCTGGGAGAAGCTCTGACAGCTTAGGAAAATCAGCCCTGTTCAAGAGACCTTCCAATAACATCATATACTCCTCATATTACCCTGTGGATGAAAACCAGGGTTTTAATGGTATCAAATGTGCAATTTTTTTTCATACAGTACTTTGGCTGTTTTAAGCACAGGCTTTATTAAACTTATTTTTTTAATATTCTAAAGGATATATTTCTTAAAGAAAAAAATGCAATTTCTGGTACTATAATATGGGCTGTGAAGAAACCTACGCATTTCTTTTCTCTTTGCAAATGAAAGCTAAGCTGCCCTTTGATGTTCTTGCAGAGTAGGCTCCAGCTAGTTTGTCTTGCTAAAATAGAGTTTTGTTATCATTAACAGAATGAGAACTTTACCTAATTTTAAATAAAATGGTGGTTATTTTGCTAATATATATTTAAAATAAATTTTAAACTATTAAAGAAAATCTATTAAAACCGCTATAGATTAATTATATGAACATTTTGTTGACTGTTTTATGGCTATTTTTTCCATCTGAGTAAACATTCTGAAATGTCACTGGGCTTTTCTGCCATTTGTTCTGTATTTCAAATTAGGAATCTTCAGAGAGGAATTACGCTTAAATTATCCTTTGTTTATACCACCATTTGTAATCTTTATTTTGTGTATTGTACTTTATTTCCATTCAAAACTTTCATGTGTGCAGCTTAAAACTTGAAAGTAATATTTTCAAAAGTAATTATTTGGATTGATTCCCTGCTCCTTCCCACCAGTGTTGACAGGGAAGTAAAGTGAGAGAAGACTGGAAAACCAGGCACAACATTGCTAAATAATTTCAGGAACTATTCCAGGTCCATGCCTCTGTTCAATTCTAACAAAGGCTGATTTAAGTAGTGTCAGAGGAAGTTTTGTATGAGTAAAGCTTTCAGTAAAAGGTTGCATCAGATCCTCTCTCATTATTTCTCTTTGGTTTAAAAAGACTATTTTGAAGAATGTCCTCCTGGTTTTGTTTTAGGGTTTGTAGTGCCAGAATTATTAGAAAACTGTTAGTTGCTAAGAATTGTTTTCCCTAGTTTTGCTGTATTGCTGTTAAGGCAGATTGCTCAGGAATGGTCAGTAGCTTGCACTACTAGGACTCAGCCTTAATGAAATATGTATGGGCAAATGGGGCTCTCTTGAAAAATAACAGGACTTTTAAGTGTATTCCACCTGCATAGCTCTAAGGCCAGAATACATTCCATAAAGAACATAAAATCCATTGTTTGGCAGACATACCTAGTCATGAAACTCTTTTCTTTTGGGCATCACAGCCAATGTCACTGAAGCCCATGGGACTTTGCTGAAGAGGAGAAATATAAATGTTGCATTCACCGACAAAACTTAAATCCAAGCATTTGATTCATTCCATGAATTTTGCAGCCATAATTTCATCTCAGAACCAGGATGTATTCCAGTTTGTCTGGAGAAAACACTGCCTATACAGAAATCAAACTCCAATACCTTTATCAGTCCTTCTCTTGAAGTTTTCAGTTTTTACAGAACAATTAAATTTCCATTAAGTCAAAGAAAGAGAGAGACAGAAACTGAATCTGATTATAGCCTACCAGTTGGGAGTCTTTGGAAGAAGATTTTTAGCTTAAGACACTGATCTGTGGCAGACAAGGATTTAAAAGTTGGCTGGGTATTTGATTGATTTCAAAGAAACTGATTTTGTTGTTATATATATTGTATAACTAAATCTGCTGGTTTTATGAGCCCTTTCCTCTGACGTGGGATAGGCAGAGCCACCATGCACTGGTCACACAGGAGCTCTGCATGCCCATAGTGACACTGACTCATTCCACAGGCCTCAGCCTCCATGTCTGGTTCAAAGTGTCATGCTGTAGCCCCGTTGTAGTGATTCATGTCAATCATCTATCACCTCATGGCCATTAATGGCTTTCCGCCCAAAACTGGTAATTTAGGATCTCCTGATAAATCAAATGGTGTAAGGCTGTGCTGACCAGGTGGTTTATATGGTCTCCCTGGCTCTGGGTTCACTTGATCACCACAACCAAACTGAACAGCTTCAAGAGAAGGAAAAACAAACTCTCTGCTCCTACCTCCCTATGCACAAATCCTGCTCCCACACAACACTGTGTGAAGGGTGCCACACATACAAAGAAGGGATGTCAGGAGGAATCTGCTAACTGCAGTTGAGTATGAGGACTACCATAACAGTAGGCGGGAGCAGTGACTTTCCACAAGTTTCAGCAACTTTGATATGGATCCTAAATCTGGGGGTTTGAACTGAGGACAATGGCCAGCTCATATCCCACAGGCCAGCCAGGCAAGGGAAGGAACACTGATGGAATACAAGTGGTTGAGTTCATCCCATGAAACAGGTACTGAGGTACCTCCTTGTGTCCAGATGTCTCCACTTCATAACTGGGGTGATGGTTTTGAGGATTTACCCCTGGGAACAGGCACCTCAGGGAATAAGTAGGCAGTAGTAAAACCAGAGGTCTTTTGTGAATAGAGGTCTGAGGCTCAAGATCTGCCACCAAACCAGATCGCCTTGATATGATGACAGGGGATTGAAGGCCTTTAAACTTGTGTGTGAGAGCAGAGGAAACACAAAGGCTTCCACCAGTTGAGGGAATTGCCACATTTTGTGCCTGTCTTGATGCAAAGTTTCTCTGGCCTTGCAAGAGAAAGAAGTAGATGGGACCGACAGCTTTTGGGTCCTATTGCCCATTTGTGCCAGTGAGCAGAGCCTACCTGCGTACTGCATGATGAATATGGCACCCTGCACTTCTCCAGGGCTCAATTCCCCCCAAGACTCCTGAGGCTCCAGTTGCTGGTCTGCACAGTCTCCTTCACCAGCTTGCACTTGATAAACTGTTACTGAACATTTAACAATCACAGCTTATGCTCTCTGCTTACTGTCTGCATTTCACCCATGTGGCATAGCAGATCAGCCCGCCATTTCTCTTTCATTTCATCTTCTGTTCCTCTTTCACAATGTCAAATTGCTCAGGTTGCAAATACTGACAGGGAATACTTCACTACAATCAGAGAGGGTTTCAATTACTGGCTTGATGTTTCACTAGAAAATGACTCTGAACAATCATTTTTTTCCAGCTTATTAAAATAAAACCTATGCTTTGGACCTAAGAGGATTGACAGTATTTCTTTAATTGACAACCAGAGATAATATAACACTTATCTTTTGCTTAGAAGCAGGGATAACTGATGCCTGACATTTTGGTTCTGTGAGCACTCAGATAGGAGGTTTTATTGAGTGATCACCAGCTTTTGCCTAAGAGGCCTCTCAAAGCCAAGAATGCACAGCAGTTAAAGACCAATATCTCCAGCTCTTCATGGATATTTTGACAGTTTAGTGAGGCCTGATTCTGCCACCTTGCACCAAAATGTTAATGGATTTTTGTGCAGTTTGCCTTAGCGAGGATGACAGTCAGGATCTGAATTTGCTCTAGGCGCCATACCAGATCTGCAGGAGGTTGTTCATCAGTAGATAGCAATTAATAAACTCATGCTGCAGACAGATGACAAAGTTCAGCTGTTTTAAACCAGGATTTACAGCACTGGGCCCACGCTTGGGATGAACACCACAGTCTAGTATGACCAGCTTCAGAACAACACCTCCATCTTGCAAAAAAATGTGAGTGTTTCCATTACGCATCAGACTGGAATGGAAATTTTTATAAGTTTTCAGTTAAAAAGAAAAAAAGAGAAAACATTCATTCATACAGACTAGTTCAGAGGTTAGGGCCATCCCCTACCTCACAGGAAAAGCATGCTGAGTCTGTCATATCTGCATCCAAAAAAACCCACTTCATCTGAAAAAAAGTTTTAACCAACAATTTTTCAAGTAGATTGACATTTTATTACTGTTAAGACTGTATCTGAAAAATGTCCAAAGACATGAAGCTCACCATGTATCTCCTAAGCTGGTGTGCATCCTTTATACACTTCAGGGTAAAAATTCCTATGTATCTATCCCATCCAATCAACCATGCACTGTACTTATGTAATTATTACCAGACAGTGAGATGCATTCTATTTTGAATACCTATATGTTTGTTTATGTAAATACATAGAGAAAAACGTTTGTTGTATTTTGTAATGTTAATGTAAAATGGTGTTCCAATGCTTTATTGTTTTGTCAGATCCCACTGCTAGTAAAGCAGATTAAAATATTTAAATGCCATCAGTTGTTTTATAAACTGGAGGTTTGTCTTCAGTAGCTAATTTGGTTTGGTTTTATTTTTTCCATAAATACTCAGTACACTGTCTGCTGAAGGCTAAAGTAATTTTACATATTTTGCTGGACAAAAAGAAAGAACGTGTTGCAGAGTTTAACTGTCTCAGTAAACTGGTCCAAAATGAGCCATTGTAATCGTTCTCTTTTTTCAAGGACAGCCATTCTTCTACTGAAGTGGTATACTCTTTAGGTAACTACATAGTGCCAAAAACATTTCAATCTCAGAAACAGCACACTTGCAATAGTAATAAGCCAATTAAATTAGTTTCACTAAGAAGTAGGACTATAAGTTTAATATTAATAATCAGCTGTATTGGTTTGCATGACAAGGTTTTAGCAGTGGGGAAGATACAGGTATGGCTTCTTGTGAGAAGCTGCCGTAAGTTTCCCTCATGTCTGACACAGCCAGTGCCAGCTGGCTGCAGGATGGCCCCATAACTGGCCAAGGCCAAGTCCAGAAGCAACGTTGATAGCCCCTCTGGGATAACAGATTTAAGATGGGGCAGGGGTGGGGAGGGTGTGGAACTGCACCACTGAAGCCAGAGAGAGGAGTGAGAATATTTGAGAGAAACAGCCCTGCAGACATCAAGTCAGTGGGGAAGGAGTGGTAGGAAGTGTTCCAAGAGCCAGAGCAGAGAATCCCCTGCAGCCCGTGGTGCAGACCATGGTGAGGCAGCTGTGCCCCTGCAGCCCATGGGGGTTTATGGAGGAGCAGAGATCCACCCGTGGAGGACTCCATACCAGAGCAGGTGGATGCCTGAAAGAAGGCTATGACCTATGGGAAGCCTGTGCTTGAGCAAGATCCTGGCAGGACCTGTGGGAAGCCGGTGGAGAGAGCAGCCCACTCTGGAGCAGGTTTGCTGGCAGAACCTGTGACCCTGTGGAGGATCCACGATGGAGCAGCTAATGAAGATCTGCAGACCATGGAAAGCTCTCATGTTGGAGAACTGCCTCCCGTGGGAAGGACCCACGCTGGAGCAGGGGAAGCGTAAGGAGTGCTCCCCATGAGGAGGAAGTAGCGGCAGACTCAATGTGTGACGAACTGACCGCAGCACCCATTCCCCATCCCCCTGCACATCTGCGGGGGAGGGCGTAGAGAAATCGGGAATGAAGTCAAGCCCAGGAAGAAGGCAGGAGGGTGGGGGGAGCAAGATGCTTTAAGATTTAGCTTTTATTTCTCATTAGCCTACTCTGATTCGATTGGCAATAAATTAAGCTAATTTGCCCGAGTCGAGTCTGTTTTGCCGGTGACAGTAACTGGTGAGCCATCTCTCCCTGACCTTATCTCGACCCACGAACCTTTCGTTGTGTGTTCTCTTCGCTGTCCGGCTGAGGAAGGGGGTGGCAGAGCGCCCAGCCAGGCTCAGCCCACCGCCACAGCAGCGCGCACAGCGCGGCACAGACACCGGGAAGCCCCGGGCCGCAGGACCACAGTGCCATCTACGGGCGGTGTTACCTTTCACGGAGAGCATGGAAATCGGAAACCCCAAATGGATTTTGATACCTTTTCGTTGTCTTCGTCTTAAAAATAAAATAAATTTATTCCTCCGACTGAGGAATACAGCATACACGCTCTTGCTTATAACTGGAATGCGTATCAAACTAGTACAACTATCAGTAAGTAATCCCTTCAACGCTTGCTCTAATCTTAAGGTTTCATCAAGCTTTATAAGGCACAGAGAAAAGCACACAAAGGCTTATTTTTCAGAAGCTATCAAACGAAGGGAAACAAATTGTTCTAGCTGCAAACCTGTGAGGTAACAACAGGGCGAAATGTGTCAGATAAGATCCCTGAATTGAAAATCCATTCAGTTTTACCTCCCTAACGCTAGACTACTGCATATAGGGTCCAGCGTATCATGATTTCCTATTTTCTTTGGAAAACCCCTCGCCAGATTTACCTGTTTCTACATAATTTTCACTGACCATTGAAAGGGAATGCATTTAACTTATCCATCTGGCACTTCAAGACATAAAAGCAAAGATATTTGGAAGATACTTAGCCTTCGTAGTATAATCTTCTGAGGGAACTCCTTGAAATATGATGCAAAGGGTCTTTGGAAATTTATGTAACACAATGAAGTTCTTTGATATACCTGCAGCTTTGACATGTGAGACCTGGGAAATAGGCACACAGCAATTCAAAAACCTCCATGATGGCATCTGATTATGCCTGATTAAATTACAATCACAGACATAACACGTTACCTGACCCTAAAAATAGTTCTGCAAACCATAATAAATTATGTCTAAAGTTATTTGACTACACATAAGCTTAAATTTTTTCATTCAGATTGAAATCTTCATTATAGGATAAAGAAAAGCTTACAAACTCAATAGTTTTATTCAAATTCAGCGTGCCAGTTTACATGTGTAAAATCATTCATATTCTTAATATTTGCAGGACATCAGTTGGGAGTAACTGCATTGAAATTGCTTGGGTTATGTCACTGTGCAACTGTGTATAAAGCCATGTAAAACAGGTGACGGTTATAGTCGTGTTAATATTTTAACTACAAAATTAGTATCAGAATGAAAAACTAAAAATTTAACAAAATTTGTGAAGAAAAATTGGAGTTCATCATGGCCATGCATTATAAATTTTTAAGTGCTGGACTTGCTTATATTTTATCTAAAATGTGCAAGGTTATTATGTTTTAAATATGACTACTTTGCCATCCTGGATGTGAACAGAGTGTGTAGAGAATCAGACCTGGGATCTTTTCTTAGAAGATCTTAATATATAAGCAGAATTTTTTTTTTTTTTTTTTTTTGGTAATAATCTGTGTTCACTGGGGACATGTGGGAATGGTCCTATGCCAGCAGACTTCCTTATGGTCATATGTCAGAAGATTTGCCTCAAGTCAACTCATCAGTAAAAAGATAGTGAAGCAAAAGAGAAAACCACACAGAGATCACGTAAATGACATAAACCAACCTATGGATGTATTCTCTGAAGAGAGTCAGCATGTACATGGATCAACATGGTCCCTCATCACAGGCTCAAAAGAAACTAACCAGAAGTTAAGATGGTTTCTTGTCAGTATAATCACTGTTCACCATGGAGGCAGAACACCAGTGAGTCTTACAGGAACCTCTTGAATAAAAATATCAAAATTAACAGTGTACATAGTGGAGAACTGATTGCAAAGACCATGTAACACTCTGTGATGGCTCTGAAAATGCCAAGTGAAATTCAAAGTAGTAAAAGTTAGGTGATGCTTTTTTGCTTTTTTTTTTAATCAACTCTAGCTTTTCATATGGGATAATGTGCTCTAAACTGACAGTTATTACATGGAACAAGATCTTTGTGTAATGGCACCATGGAAAAAATGATCAGCAGTAGTTAAAAAACTCTTTGCAGATAATTGTAAAGAGTACATAGAAGGGCAACAAGGATAATCAATTATACTAATAAATATCTGAACAGATTAAGACTGTTAAAAAATTGGGCCAATTCATGAAGCCATTGAGAGCTCTTTAACACAGGGGTGATAGACATTTCTAGCCAGAGAACTGAAGGGATCTCAGACTGCTAGATGTTAGTGGGAGCTACTTACCGAATGCTTGTGCTCTTCCTTCTACCAGTTTGTGCTGCAGTTCATCTTCAAAATCAGGTGTTTTGGACCTTTGTTCTGCCCCACTACTGCTGCTCTTCTATTAGATTGCAAATGAAAAAGGGATCTGTATATGAATTTAATTAAGTAATTCCCCATTTTTCTGTTCCTACTCTTCCATATATATTTCTGCAAGTGCATTTGCAATTGACACTAAAAAATCTCAAGTTTATTTCCAAATTCTTTGGTCACGATTCACTGACAATACAAATATTAGCATTTTGTGAGTTTATTGTTATTCTTCCTGTTAAGTGTTCTGTAGCAGTAGAAAAGATTGAAAGTCTCAAAATCCTTAAACACTTATTCACAGCTCTCAGGAATCCAGTAATAAAAATAATGTTCCTGCAACCACACAACTGCTGTAGGAAATGGAAGCAAAGAAAACAGTAGTTAAAATGATGGTTGCTGAGTTTCCAAACAAATTTACAACATGCTTGTTTTGTAAAGTCTCTGCTGTTGAATAATTTGAAATGGCAAAGATGTTTGGGTTATCCATATCTCTTTGCAGTAAAAGTGAAGTGTGCAAGTTGAAAAACTTATATTTTCATGGAGTCATTTGGATTGGGACTGCTGGGATCTCCCCTGTTAAGTGTCCAGACCTAAGCCAGTTGACCCAGCTCCTAAAGGCAATAGAGAGGCAGCCTAAAACTAATATTTCGGAGAAGTGGAAATAATCACCATTTGAAATTGCCCACTGAAGAGAAACCCAGTCTTGAAATCCCATGAGTATAAAATAGTTCCATTCACAATTAACAGCAACTATAATGTAGCCACACAACATTGTTTTTCAAACCTAAATACTTGGGGCTGATGGGACTAAGGCTAAGCCTGGAGATGTGGTATTGGGAATAAATTTCCCACTGTACAAGGACTATTAACAGTCACATTCGGGGCCCTTGAGGGAAACAGATTCTTTACTGAATGGAGCTTTTGAACAACAACCATCCGGGAGAAAGTGAAAAGATTGAACTGTACCATCTTCTGATCTGCCCAAGAAGCTGGCAGCTGGTGAAAGAGAAGTACACTGTAACATTTTAAGTGAGGTTTTCACCTTACAGACCTACATATGAGGGGAAAAAAGGGGGAAAGAGAAGCATGCTAAACAGATTACTGCAGTCACTGTCAGACTTCATTCATATTTATTTATTCTTGCAGGTTTTTTCAGGAAAAGACAACTACTGCGGGGACTTATTAGCTAGGAGCAGAACCCAGAACTTAAAAGATGAGGGAAGGTACCCTCCCTGTAAGGCTCTACTCTCCAGTGCTGGGGAAACAGAGATTTTCAGAGGATATCTGGGAATCTGCAGTTCTTACTGACACATGAAAAAAAAAAAAATTCTTAGCAATGCACAGTTATTGCAGTTAAGACTTATGTGTTTGAAATGAGTGAGGTTTACTTACTTTAGGTTTGTAGAACCAGCAAGTATGGAACAAAAGTGGTTTATAAAGGCACTTTCTGAGATGAATTACAGCAGTTTTGAGAC